CTATGATATCGTGCCTCCCCCGTACTTGATCGCGGGCCTATGCTGTATTTCCTAAACTATGATATCGTGACTCCACCGTACTTGATCGCGGGCCTATGCTGTATTACCGAAACTATAATATCGTGACTCCACCGTACTTGATCGCAGATTTCACGTGGCGACACGAGATCAATTAACAAGTGCGTTTGACGATAGACTTAGAAAATTATGTACACAACTACATGTAAATCAACGCCATTCATTAAACTTTCTGGTAAAGTGTTAATTCAAAAAGATCCGTTTGGAGAAAAGACTAAACAAACAAAACCTACTCGCGACTACAGAGCCACATAGCGGTTCTTATTGAACAGGATAATTAGTTCATATATAAATCTGGGAGAGCTGATACGCAACTACAGAGACACATGGTGGCGTCTGTTCAATATAGCATTTAGTTCATAAACTAACTCGGTGAAAGCTGATATCCGACTACAGAGTCACATGGTGGCGTTTGTTCAATATAACAATTAGTTCATAAACTAACTCGGTGAAAGCTGATATCCGACTACAGAGCCACATGGTGGCGTTTGTTCAATATAACAATTAGTTAAGAAATTAACTCAATGAGAGCTGATATGCGACTACAGAGCCACATAGTGGCGTTTGTTCAATATAACAATTAGTTAAGAAATTAACTCAATGAGAGCTGATATGCAACTACAGAGCCACATAGTGACGTTTGTTCAACTGGCTGTTCTTGGGCAAAATTAATAAAATGAGTTGACGGCTCCAACGCCAAACATACACAGTAATTTATTGTATAAAGTTAAAAGCAAGAATAAAATGCTAAAAACACTCTAAATCTTCCAGTGGGACATGCACCGCCATCTTCAGGAGACAAGGAAGACAAAATGTCATGTATATACCATGTAAATGTACAATTTGCATATTGTACAGTGGCGCCACTTACAAAAACTTACTTCCATGGCACCAGGACCTTGTTTTTAACAATGTCTAATGATTATTTTTTTAACTTTACTTTTTAAGTATCTGTATATTGCCCCGATCAATGCTATGTAAAGAGTTCGCCACATGTTCTGCCAAATCACTCGGTTTTAATTTATCAACAGAATTTTTGTGTGTTTAATTCTATGTTTTAAATTTCTACTTCTCTAGTTAACATAACTAAACCGTAACTACAATTTGAGCGAGTGATATCTGACTGTGTACAGAGCCATCTATTGTCATTACTTCACAAATTAACTTAATATGATTCTCTAGTCAACATAACTAAACCGTAACTACAATTTGATCGAGTGATATCTGACTGTGTACAGAGCCATCTATTGTCATTACTTCA